GTTTTTCAATGTTTGAACTATTTTTGCATAGACTAAAATACAGGAAGTGATAATCATTAGCAGACAGTCGATGGGCTGAATTGCACAAAACGCATGATCGCACCGGCTAGTCTGGTGCGCGTTGCCATTTATTTTTAAAGGCAGCTAGTAACGCCAGATTGAGGGCTGAGTTGTGTTAAAAAACGTGAAGCCAATCGTCAAGCACGGTCGCTCCAAGTTTTTCGTTGCTGAACTATTTGTGCCGAGTTACTATCAGGAAGTTATGGTTCAGCCTACCAAAGGCCGCAAATTATTTATCAATTTAACCCACTCCAGCCGCTCCACTTGGACCGTCCAGCTATGATTCGGTCTTCTAATGGCTATTACTTATCACTAAACCTTTGGTCACCGAACTGTCTGTATTAATGCCGATTCTTTGTAACTGTGTTACATTTTTGAAGCTCAGACCGTGTTACGGGATTGCATAACTGGTACCAGGTCCTCCGCTACTGAATTCTGTGTTTCGCGCATACGACTGTATGTTTCAGCTTACAAAATTACAGCAACAACCCCTTAAACAGTGTAATAAAAATTGACCGGCGCACGGACTGCCGGTGCAAAGATGCGTTTTTTGCTCAGTTCCCCACAGGTTTTTGTCGCTAATGGCACTGTTTTTCCTGGCAAACGTTTCTGGCTAAAAGCACTGAGACTGGCCGTCACGGTTGTCAGGAAGCATCCCCTTAAAATTTCAGCTTTCTAGCTTCTCCGCTTCCCGAGTTAGCAACTTACCCGCAAAATTTTCACGGTCCCATGTGTGGGAACCACGTGGGCAAAAGCGTACATTTCGGGGATTGGGGCCCGTACATGCAAGTAGATTAAGTTCCTAAAGTTTCAACCTTGTAGCTTTTGCAAGTTTCGAGACGAAAAATCAGAACAGGCGAAAGCACTGGCACACGCGCTTCACCCCTCAAAAATATGCATTTTTGCGCTGCGTAGATGCAAAAAATGCATAAAAACCTATATCAAAGACTGTCTGAGCAATTATTATGGGTATCCCATGTTAGTGATGTTACTGAGATGCTTCCACATGTTGTCGAGCACAAATATGCCAAAATGAGAAATATTTGTTTTTTTTTATAGGTCATATGACAACAACGGGAATGGAAGATAACAGTGCCAGTTTTATGACGGAAATTACGGAAGATTTTGTTACAAATGTAAAACAAGGTTTCATGGACATCCGTATTGTGGAACAGTATATTAACGGATGCATTGATTCACCACGATCAATCCTTACACCTCCACCTGTTGTTCCGATTGTACAGTATGTTTTCCTTTTTTTTCGATTTTGTAAAAATCCTTGGTAAATTTATTCAATTTTAAGGGATTTCACTGTCGAAGTCAAAATTCAAGACTGTGTCACACAATATATCAAATAATGATTTATAGTTTTTGTTAGAAATACCGTAAAGAACAGTTGCGTCAGTATGATGCAGTACCCCCGATTCCTGGTTCAAACTTTGAACACCCTACCCTCATTAAAGCTTTGCAACCTTAGTATCTCTGACCTTTGGGGTATAAAAGCACTCCTCCTCATCGCCGAGATTCCAGAGCCATTTTCAGCTACGCGGGAAGCTGGTCCCTGTCGACTTATCCCTGTTCTGGGTTAGTCCCTGTTGGCTTCGGCTCCCCAGAACCTCACCACCTTTTTTTTATGTTGTCGTTTCTTATTTTACGTTGTATTATTTTAGTTAACCCATGTACTTGTAAATGTACATATAACTAGATGCCTTCCACACAAACATACACAGGGCACGCCACTAGTCTAGTTTATTAACTTTTAGAGGTGCGATAAGCTAATAGCAGAATCTTGTTGTTTTCGAGCTGTATGTGATGATGGTGATGATTTGTAACGGTTTTTTCTTTTTTTTCGCTCAATTCTCCGACTATTTGAACAAAATTGCAGAATAATAGGATCTGTGATTGCGTGGTGCGCAATAGAGCATAAATGGGTTATAGAAGGCGAAGGGCAAATAGCAAGTCCAGAATTAATGCGAACATCGATTTGGTGTTTGACACGACTGTTTTCGGCAATTGGACTTTACACTGGTCCTCAATTTGAGGATTCATTGGAAGTGGTTGCAAGACGACTTTCGCCAAATCTGGTCGATTTCGCTATTACAAAAGCATTTGGCATATTATCCAAATGGCCTGGAGAGACAAAGTATGCTTTTTTTGAGTTTATATAACTTATATGATATCGTATGAACTTTTTTATAATCAGTGAATTTTGACTACTCACATCAATAAAATATAATTGGCCAGCACACCGGCTGCCACTGCGAAGATGCGTTTTTTGCATAGCTCCTGGCAGGTTTTTGTCGCTAACGGCACTGTTTTTCCCGGCAAAATGCTTCTAGCTAAAAGAATTGAGACTGGCCGCCAGGACTACCTGGAAACATCCCCTTAAGATTTCAGCTAAATTTTCAGGTTCCAAGTTAGCAAGCTACCGCAAAAAGCTTCCACAGGCCCATACATGGGAACCACGTGGGCAAGAGCGCCCCTTTTGGGGATACAGGGCCGTACACGCATGTAAATTAAGCCCCCAAAGTTACTGCCTTGTAGCTTTTGTAGGTCTTGAAATGAAAAATCGGTACAGGCTAATCAACAGACAGACACACACTCGCACACGCAAAAATACACACGGGCAGCCCCTCAACAATATGTGTTTTTGTATTGCATAGATGCGAAAAAAAACGCATAAAAATTAGCGAAACAGGGTCGTTCGATCTATCAAGTCGCATACATTCCTGTTCAGCGCCAGAACTGGACCTCATCAACACGACGGTTATGGTGTTGGTTAATTAGGATTATTTGAAGTAAATCAGGAGCGAGCTACACTGCGATGCTTCGTTAGAAAATATTGTTACACAATATCTCGGGACAAAAATGAATTTTTTATTAACTTTGGCAGTCTGTCAAGCAGATGTTCATTAGCTCAGTTGTTCATCATTAACTCATCATAGCATTTCTTCTCGTCGCTGATGCATATCTTGAAGAAGCAGTAGAGCAGAATTAAACGGTTAAAAATAAACAGATAAATTGGCCATTCTCCAGAAATCGGGAACTGGATGAGTGCTGATGAGGTAAAGCTTTTGCAGCGGCTAAAGACTAAAGTACACTGAGGATACGATTTTTTCCTCGCTGGGTCGGCAGCGTTTCCAAAGGATGGTTGCTTTTGAAAATTGCAATTACTCGGACAATTTCTGATGTTCCTTGGCTTAAAATATGTGGAGAGAGAGAATACGGATAAGATTTTACTGATGATTCCCACTCGTACCCGCATGCACTGTTCTGTACACAGCTAAGGGGTGAAACACAGACTGCGTCATTAAATGTCTTCAAACACATGACATTCAAGTGAAATCCTTCTATTCTTCTATTTCAAATTTTACATCGTTTTCATCTCCGTAATTATTTGTCTTCTTTTTTTGTTGCAGACTTTGTAAAGAAGCCACCGAATTACTTGTACAGTTATCGCATGCCCATGGTGAGCAAACAGCACGAAGCACACGTCTTATCCCGTGCCTTACAGCAATATCTGTTGATCATTTGCCGGCTCGACGTTCACTGCTGGCCGCACTTGCACGAATCAGCACCTCAGTTGATGAT